TGCAGTATGATATGCATAATAATACTACAAAAATTATTACAACTTTTGTTTAAAAGAATATACAATACGCTATTTCTTCCATGTTTTAATTTTAATAGTAAACCCTTTGCCAAAAAATTGTGTTTAACTCTCATTGGATTAAAAGATAAATTAAACTGATTTGTGCCTTCATTTGCACTGTACTGTAAATTAAAACTAACTGAAATTTCTAGTGTCACATAGGCCAAGACATTTCAATAGGCTATTGAACTAAGTGTGCCTATAAAAGGCTATTAGTGTTATAGTTTCATGAAAATAGTTGCAGTCTTCTTAACAACTTCTACAATATAGCTATGAAGACAATTAAATTATTTACACTTATTATATAAATTTTTTAAGTTAATCCATTGATGTGCATTAGATGATGAATTGAATAGTCACCTCTACTATTGTAGGTTATGTTTTAGTCATCAGAAAAGAATGTGCTATTACACATACATTTCTAACATGTAAATTATTGAAGCCAAATACTTACATTTCCTCAAGCTGTTTAGCTGTAGTACAGTATTCATAGGCTTAATCATGAAGCATACAGTGGCCCCACTTTTAACTCTCTCTTTATATTACCCTTATTGTAGATGGATGCACAGAGGAAGACAAGAGTAAGAAGTGCAGTGTGGGAGTACTACACTCAACCAACACCAGGAAAGGCAGTTTTTGTCAGAGCCCTTGTTATTCTTAATTTTGACATTAATTTTCATTTTTACACCAGACATATATATTGGTTCAAAATATCGGTTATCAGTCTACTTGATCTGTAATGATCGGTATCGGCATCGGCCCTGAAAAACACATATCGGTCGACCCCTAGTTGGATGCATTCAAAAGCTGAATTTCAAAGCTTTCTAAGCTAACAAACAGGGACCTGAAAATGATACCTAATTATTAAAAAAAAAAAAAAGTTATATAAAAGATAAAATACACAGAAATATTCTAGGTTTTACATTCTGCTTGCCAAGTGTTCAATGCAGCTCTCCAACTGATTTCTTCAATTCATGGGTTTAGGTATTATTTACACACGAAAGACGCAATGGATTGTTTTGATTTTGGACTCATTTCAATCGTGAGAATCTGCTGTAAATAATGATATGCCATTTTCCACGATCGGAGCATGTTTCATGAAATGACAAGCGTAAAAAACCATGAGAAAGTTACACCATGCATGTGCGCATTTGGGGTTTTATGTGTTATAACTCGATTAGTCTTTAGATCTAATGAACAAATTATGATGAGTTTGAGCTCCTTTTAATCGGGAGAATTTTCTGAAAAAAATTACGTGCAATTTTCCATGATCTATGCATGTTTCATGAAGTTACAAATAAAAGTGCAAAGTGAGAGTACAGTTATTCTGCTGCACCTCAAGTGCCTGTCTGGTTTCATGTGTTACAGCTCTATGAACGAAATCTTTTGATCTGATCGACGGATTATGGTAAATTTGGGCTCTTTTTAATCGGGAGAATTTTCTGAAAATAATTGTGTGGTTTTTCAAGATCTATGCATGTTTCGTGAAGTTCTGAGCTAAAACGGCACAGGACTGCAACCTCTGATTTTTTTTTGCTAAGCTACATGTCCTAATTCTGTTTTATGTGTTATAGCTCTATGAGTGATATCTTTAGATCTGAACGATGGATTATGGTTGATTATGGTGAGTTTGGGCTCTTTTTAATTGGGAGAATTTTCTGCAAATAATGACGTGCCAGTTTCTATGATATATGCATGTTTCATGAAGTTCGGAACGAAAACGCTACATGACAGCTACCTTAGATTTTTTTTGCTACGCTACATGCCACCTGTGCAGTTTTATGTGTGTTATAAATTCTTATGAGAATGAGACCTTTCAAATTATATATGACACATGACTGAGCTGTATGTTTTTGACATAGAGTAAATGGCACAAAAAACAGATTCAGTAAATTATGAATTTTTTGTCATTTATCAGCAAATAACTCGCCACTAATTTGGAGTAAGCGGCTACATGCATTGTAAAGCTCAGACTCTAAGCTTTCAAATTATATCCATTTTTGTTGATCAAGGCAGTGGTTTGAAAAATATGATTAGTAATATTTTCGCGGAGCGGGGGCGTCCCGCCTGCGGTACACTCCGGTTTAGAGTGGCTGTTCCGCGCTCGTTAAGAGTTGATCAAAATAATTACATTAATTTAAAATATTTTGTGTTATTCCATTCAGGGGTTGTTTAGTATTTGATTATGAATTTTTCGTGCGGGCTTAAAGGGTTCAAAAAAGGATAGAAAACACATTGTGGGTAGAAATAAATAACTGGTACTTTGGGTGTGTTGTACACCGTATTTATTTTCATATAAAAGTAACAAAATTTGAGTTACATTCAATTTATTAACAACAAAGTATGTAAGTGTGAACCACACAATATCCACCTTTGATCCTGTAAGTGTCTGATCCCTACAAGAAGTCAGAACTGTCTGACCTGTTTTCACTCCTCCCCTCACTGCAACTGTCTACTCTTGTCTACTTTTAAGGCGAGTGGAGGCACATCTCAAATGAGCCTACTCCTAGATCTCAAATATATGTTAGATAAAAGAGATATCAAAAGTCTGCAGTGGTGGGGGTGCTCTAGGACGAGGATTGGGAACCGCTGCTTTACCTGGCTATCCTTACTGCAACGTGATGAGTGTCAGATGATGAGCCCTTTGCCTCCGCAGTCATCTTTGACAGTGAGCTGGACGCTGAATCACTTCCACGCTCCGGCGCCCAAGAGCTGTGGAGAAGGAAGCAGCAGCTGGAGGCAATAGAGTCTGGGGATGAGCTCATACTGAATCAGTATTTGCGTGCCTCACTTCCACCTGAACTACCTGTGATTTTCGTCAGCGACAGGCCCCTCCCGATGGAGCCCGCTTGTCCCTTTTGTTGTGTTAGAAAATGACCAGCATTTTTGTGAATTGTCATAGTAGCTGGATATGTCACTCATGCAGTGTCGCATTCGCCGCTTCCTATCAGCTTTGCTACAACGACTGGTCCGACTCAACCCTACTTCACATTTATTATTCCACACGTGCTGTTATATGCCCCTTCATGTAGGTATGATCACAGTTCACCTGCGAGAAAGAATGTTCACACCCCCTCATGGCTATTGACTTCCACTTATGCTGTGCACCCTTTACAGCAGTGGTTCTCAAACTTTTTTGGTCTCGCCCCCCTTTAAACCTATAAAAAAATCTGGCTTGATAAAGCATTAGATTCAGTGTTACTCCAGCACACTTTGTTTGCCGGTTGAACCTTATAAGGTGTTGTTCAAAGGTAAAATAATTTCCTTGTTTACAACCTTGTTTTGTTCAAGAATGGATCAGCGTTATTAAATGAACTTGCTAATGAAAACAGTCCCTAGTCACCACCTACTGGTGTAACTATGCAGTCCCTCCAGTTTTCACGATTCCGCGATTGCTGAATCCAACGAAAAATAAAAAGTCACATTTTTTGCGATCCTGCATAATTCGCCATTTCACCACAAAATAATCACAAAAATTAAGGTCTCACAAAAAACTAAATTATAATTACTAACTGAATTATCCGTCATTTTAATAAAGATAAAATGCATTATTTTCAAGATACAGATAGCCTACATGATACAAGTGAGTGGTGTGTGTGAAACAGCGAAAATGAAACTTTCTCACCGGAGTCTCACATAACTGCCATGGACCGGCAAAGCAATTTCCTAATGCATTACACCAGAGTGGTGGTAAAATGTTATGTAGTCCTTTATAATAAAATTCGGATGACAACAGATGACAAAAGAAATTCTACTGTTGCTATCTCAGTAGAAGCAAACTTCTGTGACATATGGACTTGTCTGTGGAATCAAACACATGCAGTTAACGATGTCTTAGATAGACGACCGCTGGACATAAGCGAAATGAAGTAAGCAAAAGTGATTATTGTTTTATATGGCTGGGTGATATAAGTGTCAAATCGACAGAGATTTCATTTATATCAGGCACAGCTTTCAGTGGACAGTACTGTTTAAAGTTATTAACACATTAGAGCAATTAAGAAACAGGATGAATGACAAAATAAAAAGCATCACATGGTTGATTGTAACAAAAATAGTTATTAAAAGTGCAGTATGCGGCGAAAGAAAACTCAATTCAGTCAATCAGACTGACTGCGGATTTGTGTTTTGTGCGCTAATTTATTTTTTGTTAAATAAACAAGCTTCATGCATTTTGTTTGTTCTTTGTGTCATGCATGACTATTGTGCATCTAACATAATGCATAATATGGTAAATGTACTATCGTAATTATATATTTATAAATAAAATATCGTAAAACATCTTAAAAATGACTGATTGTGTAACCTGCACTGAAGTTGCTAAAAAATTGCCATGATTAACATGCAGACATTTTAGTTTATTTTGATTGCAATGTAATAATTACTTTAGTTACAGTGCTTTACAAATAATATTATGCTTTACAATGATTTTACAAATAAAATGCTGCTTCTTTTAACTTCAGTTATAACATTTTGGAATAAGAACAGTATAGGAAGTTTATGATGTTGTTGAGCATGCTCTTAAATGCTTAAATTGTTCCCATATTTAAAGTTGCCAGTCATTGCCTACTTTGCATTTTGTGCTATTTATTTGTACCATTTTGTTTTATTAGAATATTTAAATTTATTTAATTCCTTTTTCTTTCTTTTTTTTGTCAAATAATGAAGAATTTTGGTTAAATTAAATTTCTGACTGCAGTCCATGAAAAAAAGAAGTGCTTAATGTCCTTGAAAGCCCTGGTATTTCATTTGACAGTTTCTGTAGAAATCCTGATTAACAAGTAAAGAATCAAATGGAAATAAAAAAAAAAAAATTCAAGCTGTTTGACTTCCTAAGGCATAAGCAACAGCTGTTATAACCTGCTCATACATCCTCTCTCTCTCTCCCTCTCTCTCTCTCTCTCTGCTAATTCCTTATAATTCCTATCTTGATCTTGAAGCTGAAACTTGAAGATCGATCCATTGTGCCTAGAGACTTTGTCCGGAGAATGAGTTCAAATGTAAGTTGTTTTTTTGTTACTTGTACTTAAAGACAAAATAATGTACAGGGTAATAGAGAAAAAAAACTCCCTCAAAGAATTAGACGCTACTTGAGTGAAACTGCTAAATGAAGCTTAGTAATTAAAAATGAATAGAAACTACTAAAAAGGCCTGGTATGTAGGAAGGATTGTAGCATAGAATTCTTAAAATGTTTTTGCAGACACTAATCTTTTTGATGACAGTATCAAGAAGCTTAAATCTGTGGTTAATTATTTGTTCTCTGAATCCACAGGATAAACAGTGTGGCATTGTGACTAACATAAACACCGAATGTGCAGTGAAACTTGTAGGGACCAACTGTGCTCTATATCCTGTAAATAGCAAAGACCTGCAGCATGTCTGGGTGAGTTTCTCTGGGAGACATTTCAGCTTGACATATATTGTGGTTGGATTATGTACTCTGTGTGTGTGTGTGTGTGTGTGTGTGTGTGTGTGTGTGTGTGTATATATATATATATAT